TATCTATATATATATATATTATATCTATATATTATATAAATTATATAAACTATATATATATATGTGTGTATAATATATATATATATATACATATTATGTATGTATATATTCATTTAGCTTCTTGGACCTAAGAGGATCGTATTTTCGAGTATTTTTAAAGGGGCTACAAGACGGCCAACCTGGGGACTGCTAGTTGCCCGATGAAGCTTCCTTGTGGACTGTCGTTTAGGGTTTAGGGTTTAGGATTTAGGGTTTAGGGTTTTGGGTTTAGGAGTTTAGGGTTTAGGGTTTAGGGTCACCTAAGAGCCTAAAACCCCAGACCCCTAAAGCCTAAAATCCCGAACCCCTAACCCCTAAACCCACACTCAGACCTGCCTGAAATCCCGAGCTTCAAGCCCAGAACCTCAAAAACGTATCCCGATGGCCCTCGACCCCACACTTGGAGATAATCAGGATTTAGGTTTAGAGAATAAAGATATTTCAGTTGATCATAGAAAGATATCCGCAAGCAACCGATCCCCTTCATCTCCTCTTCGAATGGAGCCCGTCATGTCGGGATGGATTCGCTTGGAATCTCGGGTCAGAGGAAACCTCCAAAGCTCCAGCGCTTTTGGTGTGAATTTTCGTCGGATTCCGGACGAGTTTCGACATGTCGATGGGCAAGAAATCGGTGTTTTTGGGGTGTATGGTTGCGTTTATCGTTCAGAGCCAGAGCCTCGGCCGAGACACAGCCCCAAGCCAAACAAGCCTTGCTCTTTGCATCCAGCTACAGATGTACTCTCCCTCTCTCTCTCTCTCTCTCTCTGTATGTGTGTATGTATGTAATGATGCATGCATGGTTATACATATATACATACGGATATGTGTACATGTATGTGTGTGTATGTATGTATGTATGTATGTATGTATGTATGTATGTATGTATGTATGTATGTATGTATGTATTTATGTCTGTATGTACGTATGTATGTAAAGTTGTGTATGTATGTTCGTATGAATGTATGAATGTATGTATGTGTGTATGTATGTATGTATACATGTATATATACATACGCACATGTTTGTATTTTCATATATGCCTAAGTCTAATATGTGTCTATGTGTGTGTGTGTGCTTGCATGTATGCACATGCTGTTTCATGCTATCCTGTCACGAATACCTATGTCGGTATCTTTCCCTACACCGTTGCCTACATTATGTATGTACATCTATGTCTAGATCCAGATCTATGTCTACATTGATGCCTGCGTATATGTATACACAAATGTGTGTGTGTGTGAAAGTGTTCGTATTGTATGTATACTTCTGCTTGGATTTCTGCGTACACCTACACATACCGGTATAGCTTATGTATGTATGCTTATAGTTTGGGTCGTAACTTAATACGAACCAGGGCTTTGTATGATCTGGTTTGTTCTTTCTGGCATCAGCCATTTCTGTCGTTGACTCCAGGAGACAGCCGACCCCCGTGGTTGGACACCCCTCCACACTGCCGCTCATGCAGGCTGGGTGGTTTTCCACGAACCGTGTGGTAAGGTCTTAACTCGAGGTTCGGGGTTCAGGATTTGGAGTTTTTAGGGTTAGGGTTTAGCGTTGGGAGTTTAAAACCCTAAACCCTAAAAGTTGAGGAAGACTACTGGGGTTCCGACGCTCGGAGTGGAAGGAGGAGGTCAGTGATGCCATGCGGCGCACAAAGGCCGGCGGCTTCCGTGGTTCCCACTGTACGGAAGGGCCCTTATTGATTAGAATAGGGTTGCGGGCTCCTTTGTAGTATCATCTTAATAAGGAACCCCCAAAATAGTATAGGTGTTTATTTCGTGCGATCCGCATGTTCAAGCACAGACGGTGCTCACCACAGTCCGGCAACGGCCACGCGTGCTGGCAAGGGAGTCCGCTAGACCGCCTGAATGCGGAGAGTCGGTCTTTGGGGGGCAAGGTTCAGGATTTGGGTTTAGGGCTTTAGGTTTGAGGGTTTAGTCTTTAGGGGTTTAGGCTTTATGGTTTAGTGTTTAGGGTTCAGGGCATGGGGTCCAAATCATGCTGGGCTGTGAAGGAGTCGATGTACGAAGAGGCCTTAAAATTAAAACCCGAGCATACATCACCAATATGTTGTACTGTGCTATATTGTAGTATTGCACAGTATAATATGCTACATCACTGCATATTACTTACGGTATACTATACAATTTAGTATGATATGACATGTTACGTTTTAGACCAGTCCTTTTTAGATAATGTAGGAATGTCTCATCGCTTATTTGCGTACCATACTGTTTATTAAAGTGTCATATATAGGATCCTGGTGTGATTTCGGTGTCTCTAGGCCCCGAAGCCTGAAGCAAAGCCGCCCTGCTGCAGGTTCCGTCGAGGCGATCCGTGCGTTGCTGCACATGTGCGTCTCTCGCCCTTGCTAGCACAGCTGCTATAGGGGCCTTGGGGCTTAGAATGGGGTTTGGAGCATGTTGGACCAGATCTTTACAGGGGCTATAATTATCAGGAGAAGCTGCTACTCGTTATTCCGGCCCGCATATTATCCGCCAACTGAAAACATGGTGCATTTCCATGCATTCAATTGCCATATTCCCGAAGCCCTATGTTCAGTCAGTTGGTCTAGTGCTACAGCACTGGCTGGCCATGGCTGGGGATTAGATCGGGCCTTGCATTGGGCTTCCTTCTTGCGGTCTTTCTGCCCCAAACCCTAGACCCCTAAACCCGACACCCCTAAACCCTAAACCTCTAAACCCTAAACCCTTAAACCCTAAACCCTAATTTAGGGGTGTAGGGTTCATAAGGTTTAGGGACTCCGAAAGTCTTCGGTCCCTTTCTTAGCCGCTAGCTTTCCATGCCTGAAGCAGGTGTTCTATGTCGTTACATGTGGGGTTTTAGGGCTTGGAGTTTGGGGGTTTATTGAGGGTTTAATTGAATTTAGGGTTTAGGTACATCGCTACATGTCTTGTTGTTTCGTAAGGGCTTCCCTTGAGCCTGGCAGATCAGAAGATCTAATCTATTGACAGAAACACTGCTGCCTTTTCTTGTTTTCTCTCTCTCTCTCTTTTCGCTCCCTCTGTTTTCCTTTCTCTCTCTATCCAATTTCGCAGGTCACGCCTGGATTGGGAACTGGCCTTCTGAAGAAGCCTCCCTTCAGGGGCTGATGTCTCGTCCCGGGGTCTTAGAAGTCTTTATCTTTAAGCACCTCAAAGGCTTACACTTGCAGGATCCGCATTACCCACGGCTAGACAAGAAGGTTCATGCTTCGAAAACCGACCCAACGTAGAGGCCTCAATAATTAGAAGCGGGTTTTTGGGCCCATTATGCTTTATTTATAATAAGGAACCTCCAAAATAGTAAAGGTAATTATTTAGGCCCCTATATTATGCCCCTACACTCTCAACCCTAAGACATTTCTCCCAGAGAGTCTAAGCCCTCAGCTTCAGATCAAAGAGCCCTTCACCCATAGAGCCCGTACAGATTCATAAAGAATTAGATAAGCGAATATTCAGAGTTGTGTGTATATATATATATGTATGTATGTATACATATATTTATATCTTCATTTGCATTTATGTGTGTATGTAAGACGGTTTGTTTATTTCTTTACTACTTTATGGGCTTATTTCTGTTATTCACATCTCTACGTTTATGTATATGTATATATATACATATGTGCGTGAGAATGTACTGTACGTACGTATGTATGTCTATATGTAGCCACATGCGGATAGACAGACCGACCGACCGACAGACAGATAGATAGATGGTGTGTGTGTGTGTGTGTGCAGGTGAGTGTGTGTGTGTGTGTGTGTGTGTGTGTGTGTGTGTGTGTGGGGGTGTGTGCGTGCGTGCGTGCGTGCGTGCGTGTGTGTGTGTGTGTGTGTGTGCGTGCGTGCGTGCGTGCGTGCGGGCGTGTGTGTTGTCTATATGTACACATACTTATGCTTACACTTCTTCTTCTTAGGCTTTAGATAAATTTTACATTCATACGTATACGATATTTTGCACACAAGTATGATGTATAACAAAGCATCCCCTCTAAAGCCCCTCTACTAAACCCGAAACTCTGAACTTCACCCCGGTCCCGCCGACCCTGGTGCTTCCAAGGTGAGTAACTCTCTAAGTTAGGGTCCCTTTTAGGGTCTTTTTTTGGTAAGGGTGCCCCACGATTATTCGGGAACCTAAAAAGCGACCCTAATTCAGAGAACTACCCAGGTGAACATTGAACGAACCACGAATCGCGGAGCGACGCCTCTGCTCATTGCTGCCACTGGGTATAGTGTTAAGCGTTTAGTGCTTTGAGTCGGTTTAGGAGCTTAGGGTGTAGAGGTTACACTTTACACCCGTAAACGCTAAGCTCAAATTAAAGCGGACTTGGGGATTAGGATTCCCAAGGCTGCGGCTACTGCACAGAAGTAGAAGTATATGCCCCGCAAACCTCTTCTAACTACTACGGCCACCATACTACCTACGATTCACATGACTGTGAGCTTATCGCAAACACCACCAAGATCTGCCTAATATAGGGGCCTTAACAATTGGAAGTGGGTTTTGGGGGGCGAAACTCAGAGTCCCCGTCATCAGTGACTGTATCGACGATAGCCCTCAAAATAGGGCCAAGGGCCCCAAAGGGTATTTGTAATTATATAATTATAAGCCCCGACCTTATTGCATTGGAATCTTTACGCCTGCAGATCAGAGGAGCTAGACAAAGCGATCTGTTTAGATTCGATGACATATCCTTTTAGGGTTCCGGGCTTAAGGTTTTAGGGTTTAGGGCTTAAGGGTCTAAGGTTTAGGCTTTGGATGACGCTGCAAGAGGTGAGGCTCTATGTCCTACATTTTGTAAGGGACTCGGGCCATCAGCCGAAACTCTTTTCGGGCTCTTGTCTTCTTCCCCCCGAAACAAGAAACCCTAAATCCTAAAACCCACATTAGAACTCCCGTTGCTAGGTCCTTCTGGTGAGGACTTTGCTTTTTCGGTTGTGGATTGGTGTCCCTTGTTTGTGGAAGCTCCCTCATGTGTCTTCAACCTTTTCCCGTCGCACAAAGCGGGCCGGCTCAGCATCTGGCTTCTCCTGAACTTAGTAGTAGAGTAGATAACCGTTGATTAACCTTTTTTGGGGTACGATCATCCTTAAATAGTTCCAAAGAACCGCTTCGGATGCTGGACAAGTAGGAAACCATGCTGAAGCGGCTGTGCGATGCTCTCCTAAGCACCAATCTCTGAACGTTTGGATTCCCTATTTCAGAGCCCTTGCGGGCAGACGTCGAAAGCCGTTGAGTCAACGTTGAAAAAGGTTTGGTTAGGGCAAGGCCCGGGCTCTGCTGATGATATCGAGTCCCAGAGTGTGAAGGTTCGTAAACAAGGGGATGAAGTGTAGACCCTAAGGAACAAAGATCCTTCTTGCAAGGACGCTTCGAATGTCCTAGACTCCTCTCCTAAACCCTAGGCCCTAAACCCTACACAATTCCTGTCCTAAACCCTAGACCCTAAACCCTAAACAATTCCTGTCCTAAACCCTATAGACCCTAAACCCTAAAGTATTCCTGTCCTAAACCCCAGACCCTAAACCCTAGACAATTCCGCCATCGAACCAGGGTGAGCCTTCCTGAGGTCATGGCTGGACGGAAGGAGCCAGTGGCGGTTCTCTTAAAGGCGGGGGTTTCGGGTTTAGGGTTTAGGGTTTAGGGGGGATTGGGTCGGTTAAGTGCCAAGATCAGGGCCCCAAAAGTGCATAATGTGGTGCCTTTCCGAACAGCAAGTCTTGTTTGGGTTCTTGCGTCAGGTCTGTCTCTGAGGGATAACGGGGCCTTAAAGGGGTTCGATAGGCAATTTGTCTCAAGGATTTTTGGGGCTGCAGTGGTTTAAGGGTTGAGGTTTTGGGATGCATATGAGGTTTAGTAGGCCTCATGTGTTCACAGATTTTGACTTAAGGGGGTCGAACGTCTGGGCGTGAGGGCCAAAATAGTGATTCCAAGTATGCCGGGTATCGTACATATCCGAAAGAAACGCAAGCTGCGACTCCACCCTGTATGCTCCCCACTATACAATAGCCCAAAAGTAGGCTAGCCGCATGTTTACGGTTCTTTCGTGGTGGTTAACGTATGTTTCGTACATTTGGATCCTGAGAGATCTGTCTGGCCAGGCCCAGGCCAACGTCAACCACGAGAAGAGCGAGGACTCGAGCGAGGGGGCATGAAGCCCAAATTGGAAGACGGTGGTGATTCTCAGTGGTGATTGAACCCGTGAGGTGGTGGTAGTGGTCGTAGTCGTAGTCGTAGT